ATTTGCTAATAAAATTATATTAATATAGAATGAATTTGAAGAAGTTATTAATAATGATAATATAAATGAAAATAAGTATTAGTTATATTTTGTATATTAATTCATAATTTCTATAAATTAGATTATTACTTATCTTTTTAATTTATATGAATTTTTATCTGATGATGATGATATAACTAATTATCAAAAAACTTAATCACCTTCAAATGATCAAATAATTTTAAAGATTCAAGAAATTATTTATAATTCTCTCTGGTATTATTAGTAAGGTTTAGAAAATATTAGTTTGATAGCTACCTTATTAGACCAATAGTTAAAATCAATGATAGTGTGGTCAGAAAAATTATAAAATAAAACTATTAGTAAATTGCATATTAAATTTAAAGATTAGTAAAATATAGTTATAGCTGATGAAATAATAGAATATATTATATCATTCTTTTCTATTTTTTCTTTTATAAAAAAGAATTTTAGTAAAGGTTAAATGCAAATAAATTATGAAATTGAAATTGACAATTACTTGAATAAATTTATTATATCAATTCTATCTGAAAATACTGATGTTTATCAATGATAATATACTAATAAGACTTTTTTTTCAATTTTAAGTAATATTACATGTAAATACTTATCTATTTCTATTACTTCAATTTTAAGCGAATAGCTTTTTGCTAATGCAAAAAATCAAATTACTTCTAAAAAAAATCAGCTGACACTTGAAGTAATTAGTCAATTATTATTTATTAAGGAATAGGTTATTTTGTAATATTTAATCTTAATGAATATAAACAATAAATTTAAAAAAATAGTTTTTTATATAATAAATTTTTTTTAAAGTTTTAAAAAATTGATAGGTCAAATTCAACAGGTAAAATTCATACCTAAGTAATATCTATTAAATTATGTGATTTATCTAGATCACTTGTTAAGTTCATCTGCAGGTGATCTAGATCTTTTTTTGAACATGTTTAAATACCTGAAGGATGTTAATATAAAAATATTATATTACGAATTTACTAAAGATTTTAATATTTATAAACTATTTTAGAAATATATAAAGTTACTTTAGAAATATTTTAATATTGATATTCTATCATTACAGAAGCTTTTTTGATATTGAAATTGTTGTTACTATTTCAAATAATTCTTTCTTATAATACTTCATTATTAAAAATTAATTATATTTAACTTTATTTTAAATATACTAGGTAAATCATTATATAATAATATTTTTTGTATTTTTAATTAATATTGTTTTTTATTAATTAATAAAATAACTCTTAATCCGTAAAGCTTTTCTTAACTATCATTAATATAATAAATAAAATTATCACATAATGATATAGTATTAAAGAATAATATTATTAATAATATATATATAAAATATTGATTTAAAATACAATAACTCAATATCTAAGAAGTAATCTAAACTGGTAAATTATAGAAATTCTCCAGTTTTTAGCTAGTATCTAAACACTTTTTTAGCATTATTATAATGCTAAGTTAGATCCTTAAATTATATACCTAAAGATTAAACAGAATTACTATAGTGTTAATCAAAATTAACTGTAAATTTTATTATACTATCTAATATAATTTTTTAGCAATCTAAAGAAAATAGAAAAGAAAAATATAGATATATATTTTAGTAACTAAAATAAACTAAAATAGTATTAATAACAACTTAACATCTTAGTAATAAAAGATTACAAAGTTAGATAAACGTATGCATAATTCTTAGTAATAAAAAAGCTACAAAATAATGTAAATATGTAAATATTTTCTTATAATAAAAAGCCATAATATAAAGATATTTTCTCAATAATAAAAGGATCATAGACAATCAGAAAAATTATTACTATTAAATTATGAAATTACCATTAGATTATATGGGATCTTTGCAATAGAAAGGAAGGAAACTCTAAAAAAAATTAAAATTTTACTTTTTAAGCTAATTATGATTTTTTTTATAAATAAGTTCAAATTTAATATTAACTCAAAAAAAATATTTTTTAGAGTTTCCTTCCTTTCTATTACAAAGCTTCCATATTATCGCTATTATCATTAGGTCATATTATAGCAATTAGATAGCAGAAATTAACTAAATAATAATCAGAATATGATAAAAATACTCAAAATAAAAGATAATATTAATATTAGATTATGATATTAGATTATATTATTACTATTAGATTATAATATTACTATTAGCTTTTTATATTAGACTATGACATCATTATTAGACTATAATACTATCATTAGATTACAAACTCTCTATTAAACTATGATATCTCTATTAGACTATAATATCATTATTAGATTGTGACATTACTATCAGATTATAATATCACTTTCATAATCTAACTTAAGTTACTAGTGATTAATTCATAAAAATTATTAACTAATAGTATTTTTTTTTATGAATATGGGAGCTTTGCAATAGAAAGGAAGGAAACTCTAAAAAAATTTTTTTTTGAGTTAATGTTAAATCTGGACTTATTTTACAAAAAAAATTATAATTAGTTTAGAAAGTAAAAATTTAATTTTTTTAGAGTTTCCTTCCTTTCTATTGCAAAGCTCCCATATAGTACTATTAGATATATTTTAATTAATCAAATCTAATAAGTAAAATTTTCATTTTATAATTATTAGATAACAAAATATTTTATTTTTTTATACTTTTTAATATAAGTTTATATTAATCATTTAAGAAATAATATTTAACATTTATTATATTAAAATAAAATCATTATATTTATAATAAAATATATAATAAAATATTATATTATTTTTAAATATAAAATTGTAAAAAATAATATATCAAATATTATATAAATTTAATCAGAATTAATATAAACTTTATAAAAAGATAAAAAATATTTTAAAAAATATTTTTTTTTAGAATTTTTTTCCTTTTTATTATTACAAAACATTACTTATAAAAATAATTTATATTATAATACTTAAGTAATATATTCCTTGTTTCTAAATTTAAAAGCTTTAATTAGAATCATTTTAAAATATTTTTTAAAAATTTTTTATTAATATAATAATAATTTTATAAATTTTATAATATGTTTTCTAAAATCCAAAAAAAAATGCCACTATTTAAAGAATAAATAAGTAATGAATTAATATAAAAATAATCTAATTATTTAAATCGGAATATTTTACTATCTATTAATCTTAGAAATATAAAAATATCACAGTTTAATACCTTTTTATGATAGGAATCTAATAAACTAAAGTATACTTTTCTGCAATAATTAGATAAAAAATTATTTTTAAAGGTTTAAATATTTTAAAATAATATAATTTTTGATGAATTGATATTAGAAATATAATTATAATTTCATAATCTAATAAGTTAAATATCATTTTTTTATGATCACTAGATTTCAATATATCTTAATTTTTTAATGAAGGAATAGTAAAGAAAAAAAACATAAAAAAATTTTTAAATATGACTTTTAAATTAAAATTAATATTATTCAAAAATTTATTTTTTTGTGTTTTTTTTTTGTTTATTATAAAAATTAGAAACGATTGTAAATTTAGTAATGAATAGATTTATTTAATTTATTTAATAAATATTTATTTGTTAAAGTATTATCAATATATTAAATCGTTAATTTTAATTTAGACCCAAAATTGATTTTCGGTCGTAACTAAAATTACAAGTTTTTATCCCAAATTTACGCTACCCGGCCGAGTTTTTCTTGGTCTTGATTATTTAATATAGAAACGATTAACAATTATACAAATTGACCATAACTGACAAGGTAATTTTTAATTAATAAAAAAAAAAACCACAAACGATATTTTCTTACTGTAAATCCTTATTTGATCAAAAAATTTTTTGCGCCGCCCTGATTTGAAAAAGTCATAACCCAACTGTAGCATAACCTAAAATTTTAAACTAACCTTATACTGAAAGTTGTCGTCAATGGGCGTAGAAGGATTATTAAAAATAAAAAAATTTGATTGAATGAAAGAAAAATCTAATTATGGAATTCCTTATTATAATAACATGATGTAATTTTAGAACAAATGTGAAGCCCCTGAAACCTATAATATGATAACATTGATACGTCAAAAATAATTTCCCTAGAAACTCTAGAAACATTCTAAATTTAATCTAAATTTGATAGAATTATATAAGGTTCCTTTTTTATAACACCCGTAGAAGAGAAATGAAACCAACGTTTTTCTAACATGTTTCAACTTTGTCACATTTAATATATATAAGGCGAGATCGTAATTGTGTGAAAATCACCAAATCTCCAAAATAATTATTGTTACAAAGGTATTTTTCAATGAAAAAGACAATAACAATTACTTTTGTTGTTGCAGGGGAAAGCCAATTATTATGCTCTAAATAAAGATTTGTTTGGTGAGATAAAATCATTGAATTTATTGACTAACGATAACTTTGAAAAAAAACTGCACCTCACTTATAAGAGTCAGATTTAACGCGATCTTATCTACAAAAAATAATTACTTGCATATCAAAGTGGATTAAATACTCTATTTTTCTTCAATATGCACTTTTATTAAAAGACTCTGAAATGGATCCTTTAGAAGGAAATTGGCTTAGACTTTGTCCATAAATTTATTTGTAGGAGATTATTGTGTTACTTTTAAATTCGTTTCACATAATTACACATATAAATGCATAATATTGACAATTTAATATACTTAATATACTATAAATAATCAATAAAACAATACATAAAAAATTTTTTTCTTCTTCTTTTTATTATTTATGGTTGAGTATCATATTTCGTGAAAAACACTATAAAAAGACATCAAGTTTTTTATTTTTATTTTTTTCCTCTGACCCTCGGTCATTTGACAAAGCATTTTTCATTTTGGATTTTCCCTTTTTTTTCAGATATTCTGTTGACCAGTTATATAAAAAATAAGGACGAAAAACCAAACATACTTTTTTTTTTTTTTGAAATACAGTTTTTAATTTTTTAAAAAAAAATTTATATACAATGTATACAATTAAAATTTTCTCGGCAATATCAGTATTGCTGGCATTATCTACTTCTATACTAAACGTTGAAGCGCAACTTAAAGGAAAGTATCCTCCAGTTGATAAGCCTCCGCCAGCTGATGCTACATGGACCGCTCTCGTTGATCAAACGAAACTTATAAAAGCTCCTATCAGAACTCCTGGAATATGTAATCCTGTTGACACGTATTGTGTTTGGTCTTGCACAAATTGTTTGAGACCTGAATCCGATATTCAATATTGTCCCGATAAGAACGGTAAATAACTGTACTTAACAAACTAACATTTGAAATTGATGATTTTTTATGCTAATGATTTCTTTCGATTTATCAGATTGGGCCTTGACATATGACGATGGTCCTTCGTAAGTTCATGATTTTTTTTTATTATGTATTAAATACAACGTAATTTCACTTAATAAATATTTTAAAATTTTCAGTGTAAATTCATTGACAATACTCGATGCACTTAATGCTCGAGGTATTAAGGCAACATTCTTTGTAATTGGAAGTAGAGTTTTTGAAAATCCTGATATTCTCAAAAAAATTGTTGACTCGGGTAAGTTTCATGTATAAAAGTTGAATGCATGCACATGTAATAACGCCGAGACAAATATAGTTGTTACACGAGAAATTTGTCGCAGATTAATGAATTTTTTTTCATTTGTTTAGGGCATCAAATTGGATCACATACATGGTCGCACACACCACTCACCTCTCAAACTACAGAACAAATTATTGCAGAAGTCAAATGGACAGAACAGGCTATCAAAGAGGCCGTCAATCTAACACCTAAATGGTTTAGACCTCCTCAAGGAGATTTTGATGATAGAGTACGTGGTATATTGACACAACTTGGATATAAAATTGCAATTTGGGATTTGGATACATTTGATTGGCATTCGGTTTCCGATCCGACCTATGATTTAGCTTGGATTCCAGGAAAT